AATTGTGTTCATCATGAATATTTAATGCTACTTGCTTTTGATGATCAGGCATGACGAATGTTGATAATAAAATATTGGTAGTTGGAGATATTGAAAATTTTTCTTCAATATTAGGAATAGAATTATTTATTTGTTTTGTTGTCGTTAAGTTATTATCCGACATCGTATTATCTATTAGAACAATTTGTAAGTTAAAAAACTGCTTTTATGATAAGAAATTTACAGTTAGATATTAAAGGTGTACAATTTGAATCTATGTTGTTTTCGATTGTTTTTTCTGAGAAAAAAGGAATTTGTGCATATATGTGCATCTCTTTTAGTTAACATACCAAATATCTGTTCTGTGAAATTAGTTTGTGTTAAAATCGATAGATGCTCGTTGGTATAAGAAGATATATTACGATTTGATGCAGATACTGTAAGTTCCTGAACAGGTAAAGTTTGTTGATTGTTTGTTATATTAATAGCATCAGAAATGTTTGAGAGTTGACGAGTCGTTGAATTATCTATAGATAGGTCATTGTTTAGATTTTGAAGTAATCTTACAAAATTTTAAAATACCAAGAAGAACGTCTGTAGGTGATATGTAAATATTGTTGTTTGAAGATGACATATTGTGAGATTGTTCAATTCGAGAATTTGTATGTAGTTGTTGAAGTAATTGATTTAAAGGAGTATATGTCTGTTCATCGTTTTGATGAGATAATACTTTACCAGATATGACCTTTACTGCTTGATAAATATTTTCGTTTAGAAAAATGAAATTAGTAAATGTCAGCTTATTTTGTTATAACTACCTATGTCTTGATTACTTCTTGGTTGATTATCTGTTGATTGACTACTTGTTGTTTCACTGTGCAATCGCAGATTATTTGCTATTGTAACATTGTCAATATTATTTGACGCATGAATATCTACAATGAATAAAGGAACAATGTTAATTTAAGATTGATTGTCAATATTGATTAGGTTTATATTATATTAAAAAATTTATATGAAATCCATACCATCTAGATTATGCTCTGGATATTTTCGTTTTAAATTTTCATATAGAAGTTGGTGTTCCGGCAACATTAAAACTTGTTTTCCATTCATTGTTAATACTTGTTTTTGCTTTATAATAGAATTGCTCAATGTTATCATATAACTTTGTAAATCCATTTCAGCATCATTGAAAATTCGATCAACAACACTTCGTTTTATTGGATCATTTAGAATATCATTCGATGGATACGACTTCATATGAACAATAGCACGTGATGTTGTTGTTATGAATGCTTTGAAATTACAAAAATATGAAAATAGGCTTTTCATATAGAATGGGTAGTATTAGAATTAAAGGAGAAATAGCAGAGACTTTGGTAATGAAGTCGGATGAAGTTTCCGAAGTCTTGTCAAATCTTGTGAAGTCTTGAGATGTGTCATCAAATGCTTTGAAGTATGTAGAAATTCGCATGAAATTTGAAACGTGTGTGGTAGGTATTTTTCATCGAAAATTTACCAAGAGACTTATGATGCTGCGTTTTTTTATAGTCGTCTTGTTTTAGTGGAAATGTGAAGTTTCATTATTTAGTGAATCTGTAAGCAAAAATTTCGACCCCGTTAGAACGTAAATAGAGACAACAGGTAACATGTGAATGGTCTATTATAATGTTGTTTATTGCGTAATAAAATAGTGAAATGATTTAACAAATTAATATCACTGTTACGAACAATTTAAATTCTTCTTCTTTGGTATGACTCGCGACAATCAAATAGTTCATAAATGGTTCGCTTCATGGGAAAAACAGCTGACTTTAAGACTTTATGATTTCAAACGATTTTGAAATTTTATCAAAGTTGATCGAGTGCTATAATCAAAATTTTTATTGTTACTTCTTCAATAATGCATTCAGTATTTTATAGGTTACGAAAATTTCACTCAATTTTTAACAATTCTTGGCTGATAGTAAAATTTTGAAGTCTCTCAAAATCTTCGGAGTTCTTTTGAGAGTGATGCATTTCCTAGAAGATTTATGAAATTTAACGAAGTTCTTTCAAGTTTCATGAAGTTCTTGGAAATGGTATTAAGCCTGAGAAATACCATGAAGTTTTAGGCAAGCGTAACTCAGTAAGAATCTCAATTTTAGAATGTCATAAAGTCTAGATGCCTCGTAATTTTTTTTAAAATCGTATAAGGTGTTTTGGAATTTGATCAAGTGTTTCGAAGTCTTCTGGGATCGGGTGAACACTAATGAGGTTTTGTGAAATCTGATTAAGTCTTTGAAATGTTTTGCATTAGTAGAAATGTTCTGAAATTCAGTGAAATTCGATAAAGTGTTCTAAATTTTCCTGAAGCCTTGTAGTTATAACTTTCAGTACATATTGAAGTTTGACGAAGCGCTTTGAATTTTCGTAGTGTTGGACATTCTTTAGGAGTGTTTTGAAATGTGTTGAAAATTTGAACTCTTTGCTGGTGAAGTTTTCTGAGACGATGAAATTAGTCTTCTTCCTCCGTTTACTCTTAGAAATCTATTACTTTTTTCAAAAGTTTCCTAATATTAGGCAAAGTTTGGTACAATCCTTGGAAGTTTGCTAAAGTTTAACGAAATTATTTAAAGTTTTATGATATCTTTTGAAAACTTTGGTTCGTGAAGTCTCTTAAAGTTTTGTGAAGTTTGTGAAAATTCTGAATCCTTAAACTCATTTGGTTTTTGCTTGATTAAGAGATGCATCATAAGATACGTTTTAAAATGACCCCATTATTACTCACGCCCTTGTCGTAGTAATTGATATTTTGTAAATTCATCAATAATAGTATTGACCATATCTGTTGAGAAATGACGAAGCAAACCCATTGATCCTGTTAAATCTCATTTTAGAAAGAACAAGTGGGGTATTTGGAGGATACATTCACGAATTTTATTTGTTGTTGAATGAACTAAATTAATTGTTTTTTCAAATTTATATCAACACATTTATAGAAATTCTTACGAGAAATCGTTTCAATTGCGGTTTTTTTATCGTTGAGAAGAACAGGTTCGATGTTGTAAATTGCAAATAACATTTTAATCAAATGACTGCAAAAAAGATAGCCAGTAAGATGACAACTCGACGATTGAATTTCCAAAACCATAGTTTGAGATGAATATTTATTTTCTATTACTTGTGTTGCATTACGAATAAAACTAAAGCTAGTATCGTCATATTTAAGTTGATTTTGATCTTGAAGAATTCTATAAAATAAAGCAATTGACCAGTTGTATTGTTTAAAGTGATACTATAAGAAAATAAAAAGAAAGAATTTTATACTTACTTTAATATTTCCAATGCAATTTTAACAATTTCAGAAATTCCAGCAAGTTTACATAAAATTTCTGCTGATTCACCCAGACGTGAACCATAATTAACATCATCTGATTTTTCACGTTGTGATAATTCTTGGTATTGATGTATTTTATTATAAAATTTTTTTGTTCCATTTCGACTTAAAACAAATTCACGTTTGCCAATTAGACGAGCTACTATTAATATTTGTGTTAAACTTGGTAAATTTTCTTTGATGCTGTTTAATCTTTCTGACTCATATTCCACATCGCTTAAATCTTCTTCATTATCGTTGTCTTCATCATCAATATCGTTGTAATCCAGTGATTGTGGAGTATTAAGTGTTGAATCTTTTCTTCTTTGGCATTGCATAATGCAAAAATCTAAATGTTTTACCTATGTATTATTAAAGTAAATTTAAATTTCACTATCAAAGGTCATAAAAAAAACTATGTTAGAATAATTCTTGAGGAATTAATAATGTGAAGCACGATGTGATGATCAAAACAAAACACACGTGGACATTTTAATTGTGTATCTATTGTTTTCACTTCGTGCAGAGTAAGTGATAAGTTACTGCACATACTCTGTAGGGGAGAAGATCTTTCTTGAACCTTGTATCCTCAACTAGATCAGTAATGGCACGCGAAGAAAACATAAATTTTTTTCCAGGGGTAGATCTATTTCCGATCCATCGGATGTGATATATTTCATATAGACTTTAATTCTTTGTGGAATGATATACGTCACATGTGCCAAATATATTTCGTAAGGAAGAACATCTTTCATAAACGTCGTAGCATCATCTACATAACTAAAGTCACGTGAAAAAAAGTATCAATTTCTTTTACCGCTTAAAATATGTTCGGTCCATCGGATGTGGACTATTTAGTGGAGAATTTAGTTCTCTATTGAATGGCATACACCATGTCCACTGAACATATGTCGAAACGTAGAAGAAATCTTTTAATCGTTACGAAGGCTTACATGAGTGATGGTATAAGAAAAAAAAAATATCCATTTTTTCCACCGCTCGAAACTTGTTCGCTCCATCGAATGTGGTGTATTCGACCAACAATTTAATTTTCTGTCGAATGGTATACACTGTATACACTAGACATATTTCGTAAGGGAGAAGGTTTCTCCTAAACGTCGTAGTATGACCTGCATGACTGATAGTATAGGAAAAAGTATCAATTTTTTTTACTGCTATCTTGAAATGATTAAAGTTAAAATAGAGTATATCGTTAAAAATTGCAACTGACCGCTCCGACAAACCATCACTTTGGTGTCTTTGAGCATAATAATTGATTAATCGGTACGATAAACGACCAGTAGTTGCGCCAACAAATGATAAATGAGATGCAATTTCTAAATGATCTGTCATCGTATCTTTAGTTGTTGGTATTGTGCCAAAAAATTTGCATCCAGATATTCTGTCACTAGCACTTCCTTCTGATAGCGGAGAATAAAAACCCAATGATAATAATGGTTTTTCTGCTTCATCAGTAATAATAAAAGCATTTGATTTAGCCAGTTTAGCTGATAATGAAGCAGTTGTAAATTCATCAATGACGCCTGCTTCATCTTTGGAAATACCAAGAGATTTAATCGTTTCAATAACTGCCTTTTTGATGGGTGAAATAATCTTTGACTTTCCACAACCTACAAATATCACATATAGAAATTTCTTTTTTTTACTCTACAACTAAACCTGATGGTCCAATCAATAAAAGAAAAATATTTAAGTTGGTAATGTGGTTTCTAATATTAACGGTAGATTGATCACAAAAATGACCAATACAAGTAAATAATGACAAAAGAAGTCCAACTGGATCTGTATCATTGACTAGTTTATAATTATTTAAAAGATCAGCTAATAATTTAAATGAATTATCAAAAATATTTTCCAAATTGATGGTAATATCTCGAGCAGTAGATAAATTTCTTTGTCACATGCAATTGGCTAAAAATTCTTGATTTTTATTGAGTTGAGCCGACATTGTAAAAATTAATATTTGAATTAATTATTGAGATGTGAATTAATGTTATTTATGTGAATGCGATAAGTGATTAAGTAGAAAAAGGAGCGAAAATAAATAAACATTTGAAAAATCAGATAGTTGTAAACATTTGCTTAATGTAATGAATTTTATTCATTTTTTTCAATCTAAATTTAATTACAG